ACCTCTCCTCCACTCTAAGCCAAGAGAGACTGGTATGCACACCGTCCGTACTCACACCCCATGGACAGGCCAGTGCGAGTCTTGCAGCTTTATTTTGAGCTATTTGTAGCTTAAACAGATATTTTTTTAGCCACACCTGACCAGACAGGTGAACAGTAATCAAGGTGGGATAAAACCAATGCCTGTGTCACCAGCACTCTAGTGGCAGGGGTAAGAAAAGGGGAACATCTTCTAATCCCAGATATTCCATTACCCATTTTCTTAACAATATTGTCAATATGTTTCTGTCCATCCAATGTAACACCAAGCAAATTTACCTCTTCAACTTGTTCAATGTTCGAGTCTGTGAGTGATAGACAGAGCTGATTATCACCCTTACTGACATATCTAGACCTGAACAAGATACTTTTGGTTTTAGTTACATTTAAAACAAGTCTGTTTTCACAAATCCAGTTCACTACAAGTTGTAATTCTGATTGAAGTGTGTTTCTTAGATCGCTTATACTAGCTGATGCAAAATGAACAGTTGTATCATCCGCAAATAAAGTCACAGAGCACTTATTCAAAACATATGGCAAATCATTAATAAATATAGAGAAGAGTAACGGCCCAAGACAACTCCCCTGTGGCACTCCACACTGTAAAGTTTTAGGGAAGGAAAAACTACCATTAAAAAATACATACTGTTTCCTATTTAATAAATAGCTATTCATCCAATTTATGGCTAATGTACTAAACCCATAAGTAGCAAGCTTATTTAATAATAACCCATGGTCTACAATATCAAATGCAGCGCTAAAGTCAAGTAACACAGTTCCAACCATCATCTTGTTATCAATACAAGTCAACCATTTATCATGGTTGTGAGGGTGTTGCTATGCACTTGCTAGGCATTTTATCCTTAGATTTAGTCTTATATTTTGGTCTTTATGCCTTAGGTTCCTCCTTCAATTTGCGCTTTGCACTATAGTAAGTGTGTGCATGATGTATTTGAGCTGTTTTGTATTCATATGGTTTGACGCTCATCTTTCTGTCTGTTTTTAACAAGCACACACACTTACTTTCAAATTGAAATGAAATGCTATAATTATGAGCACAGGATAGCTGGAGGAAATGTACAGGTTCCCGGCAAACTTTACAAGCACCTAGACTAATTATAGTGGTGTGTGTGTGTGTGTGTGTGTTTCTTCCAGGGAAACGTATACGAATACCAGGAGCAGCAAGGGCAGGTCTGAAGGACACACACACACACACACACACACACCACAACATCAAATGCATTTAAACAGCCCGTGCTGTTCATAAACACTCTCGGTTCCTCATGTTCAGCAGTGGAAACTTCTGACAGCTCACCCTAAACCCAATACATTTTGTCTCTCTCTCTCTCTCTCTCTCTCTCTCTCTCTCTCTCTCTCTCTCTCTCTCTCTCTCTCTCTCTCTCTCTCTCTCTCTCTTACACACACACACACTGATGTCATCCTGAAGGCAGCGGCTGAATGAATCGCCCTCAGCGATTACACACACACACACACACACACACCTGACGCGCGCTCACGCTCTCCAGACGACAAACTTCTGTGCGGAACAAACGAGACTTTTCTCGGGATATTTTCGCGAGGAGAAACTGAAGCTCGTGTGTTTTTACCGCGTCTCTCATAATGGACGTGATGCTGTTTTTCTCTCTCGTTTGTGTTTGTACGGCTGCAGGTTCAGACACTCTCAGGTAAAGTCAAATGTTTGCATTTCCGAAGAAATGTTTCTTTCTTATACGTTTTTGATCAATACAAAGTTGTGAGGCATACATGACAGAAAGACGTAAAACAATCGCTACTTTTATAATTGGCGCTTTTATCTACGTTTATGAAATTGTCATGGTAATATTTTCCCGCTACAGTAGCTATAGCTAGTGTCTATTATACCATGTTGTTGTAAATCTGTGATAAATTAACATACCGTAAGTAGGCTACCATACCGTGATAGTAAAAAAAGAAAAGAAAATCGTAGTTGCCATGGTAACTTTCCAACGCGTGCACTTTTAACAACTGGAGGTGCACGATGGAATGTACTATGATTCTATAGGCATTATAACGTTCCATTTTTCGTAATGTTTCAGAAATTGTATTTTTTTTATACATTTATGATGCAAAATTATGAAACATATCTGAGAGAAAAAAGAAAAATAATCGCCAATTTTATGATTATTGCTATTATCTCAAAGTCCCTCTGTAGTCAATCATTTAAGCCCTTTAAACACACCTTTAATCACAGAAATTTCATATTTAAACGTTTTTTTCTTAAAAAAAGTCATACCTAAAAAAAACTTGAATGTAACTCGACACCCTTGCCTCATTTAGTATACGCGGTTCTATGAATATGCAAATGAGCCCGCCTCCACTCACTCACTCAGCTCAGAGATCCACTCATCGATGTTCACACTCTGATTGGTTACAAGGTAGTTTGTGACGTCAGAAACACCAGCGCTTTCAAACCTATTCACAAT